CGTCTAAGTCTGTTTATGCGAACAAGTTTGAGGAGGAGTGAGAGAGATGCTTGCAACCAGATTCTCATCATCCAATCCATTTTCTCGTTTGAAGGACCAAATTTTCAACGTCAATGTCAAGCGCAAGTACAAAGTATACAATGTTCAAGTTCGCTCTCGAGAGACACATCATAATAATGTGAGCATAACTCATATCATTCCACGAATACTAATGACTTCTCTACTTCTTTTGTACTATTACTTACTTGAATTCATCTCAGTCATCCTTCTCACATGTGTCATTACTTTAAATGCTGGTGTTGGACCAGCTTAAGCATAGAAGTATTCCTCTATTTTCATAAGACTCATCTTTCCATTTCTTTTCTAACCAATAAAGCAGAGGATTGCCGAATGTGCTTATATTTTCCTTCAAACACATTATATAGATCGTATAGCTTAACGCGTGTACTTGCAGTTTCTTTGAAGCACATTATTCAATCTGACTCTCGTCATTCATGTAAAGGTTGTACATTTTAATGTAATTTAATTCCTTACTCGTGTTCCTTGAAGATGGTGGTAATCTAGTCTAGTGTGTAATTTTATAGCACTTTTAGACTAATAAATAATGTGAGAAAATGTGTACATAGGATGTTATTGGTTGGAGCACAAGGCTAGATTAATCTTAATTTGCCCTAGTAAAATCAATTGCTTTGTGTAATACTGTCGCAGGAATTTTGTTAACCGGGTGTTCTACTGTAATAATAAATGGCATTGTTTCGAATTTGAAAAAATGATTCGAACATTTCCTGGAAAGGGTTTTATTATTTTTTTTATTAGACTCAATTTCTGTTGACGGAAGCATTTTTTTACTATTATTGAACTCCAACCCGTACTGAATTAGCTTCATAAAACATTTCTAAATTTCCAGGAATCAGATTCCAACAAGTTCTAAAGGAATAAGTGTAACCAAACAAGACAAATCCGTAATCAATTGATAGAACATGGAAAGAGTTGTCCCGTAATTAGTTTACGATGGGCCATATTGGTTTTATGGTTCTTCTTAAATCGTCTTCTTTTAAGTGACACATGGACGTTCAGGATAGCGAAAGAGGGTGTTTGTGCCTTGCAATAGGATCCAATAAGCCCTTTGCTGATGACCATGTTCTCCGAACAACGGTTCTTTAACTTTACCTCTCTCAATATGTGTAGTCTTGATTGGACATAATTCTTGAATAGAAGTCAACCCCCTCAACCACTTCCAGTTGTGGAAGGAACAGATGCAATAAAAAGAGTTAAAGTCATCGTATAATAAAAAGATTTCTAAGAGATCTAAAAGCAGTAGAATGAACCAGGATTTCCTATTCGTTTTGGGTTATTACATCACATTTTCCATGATGACTGAACAATATGTTCTAGTTTTCCACCACTTCCACCACTCGTAGGTTCCTGCTGAGGTGAAAATGGAAACAAAGTCAGAGTCAGAGGGATGTATATACGTATATGTGCGCAACAACCGTATCAAAGTTGAAATGACATATGATGGATGTGGGGAAGCATTAAGAAAAGTGGGGCAATTAAGGGCCCTTAAAATCTGGGACAGTCTCTCAAGTCTGTATTGTCTGAAACTTTGAGACTTTTTCGAATCGAGTTAGTGACTACAGAAGATCGAAGGAAGAAGGGTTATGTGCAATAAGGTGGCCACCATGAATGTTTGGAAGTTTGTTCGGTAACCAATGTTGGCCTACATATAGTGACTGGTTTACAATGCAGTGATTCAATCCACAGCAGGGAAAGGCCCTCCTGAGGGTAGAGTTAAACCGATGATACCACCGCAATACGGCACAATAAGTATTCATTCTTGAAGATGCTTGGAGAGAAAAGTGTACAAATAAAAGGGACAAGTTCTTCAAGAACTTCGTAATGAAACAATGCTTCACTTTTTCTTCGAAATCAACAGGTGAAAATTAATACTACAGATCGACTTTCATTTCAAATTGGGGCCATAAAATTCGTCAAACCAAAACAGTCTGCTTTTCCAGCGAATCTGATCATCACTTTTTCACTATTTACAATTACCAAAGAATCCCGTTGTGTCGTTTGAAATACTTTCATGATGACACTAAAAACTCTTCCAGTGTTTTTTAACAGAAGGGTTCACCGTAAAAAAATAAAAGTTTGTCTGATAAAAAAAGATTCATTAAAGCTATCTGCAATAACGTAGTTTATTTTATATGTAAAACTATTAACCCGACTAATATTATTAATCCCTCAATTCATTACACACGCGTGATACTTATTTATTCGGTACTTTGTTTACGAACCAAATTAAGTAAGAATTGTATTTTTTTACTAAATGGCAAGTTAAAACGCTCATAATTTCATGATAAGCTGTTAAAAATTGAAATTCCTACAGCGATTTTGACTTTTTTGACCCAAGAAGTATTGGAAAATTAGGGATATGCGAGCTTCTTTGCTCGTTAAAACTCAATTCAACATTGAATCATGGCTGCTGTTAATATATTGATCTGTAAAGCAATACATAAGTACATAGTTATAGATTAGATGCTCCAGAAAAGGGTTCAGCTTCAGCCGACTCTGATTTAATAAGTTCCTGTTCCCTTTTCCCCACACCAACTCTTGAGAGATGAGATTGAGTTCAGGTTGTTAATGGGATTTTTTATTTGATACAATGAGTTCTTTGAATTTAAGGAAAGGGTCCACTTTTTTTACCTGTTGAGAGTCCCTTGAGTGAAGGCCATAATAAAGGGTTGGGGTTAAAGCACCCGCCTCGGGCTGTAAATATATAGAACTCGGATACCCAATGCAACCAGTAATGAACAAAAAAGTTGAGTAATAATAATAACAAAAGTGGCAAAGGGTTCCGGTCTGGTTGCACTAATAATATATCCGAACCTTCAGTCTCATTCCTACTCGGTGATTTTTATGATTTAATATGAAATGAGAATTACTCTTGATTGAAATTTTATTGAGTTATTAGCTTGAAACACTTATAAAGTTCGATGAGTTCAAGGAAACATATTTATGGCTTGAGGAAAAAACCGTTAGTTTGTCTCATCCCATTCTGGTGATATATGAGAATTACTATTTTTCTGACATTGAAGCCTACTACATATGCAATTTGTACGCACAGAGTCAGGGAAATGTATAGATTCGATCAAAGATTATCATTTAATTGTCAGAAATGTTGCCTGTCCAAATAAGTAATCAAAGTAGAAGGGCCAATAAATGTCGCAAATTAGATACGCTGTGAGAGCACATACATTTAACGTGAAGACAAACCATCATGAAAATCACGATGAACAATGGCAGAGAGATTAGCGTTACAAATGTGGTGTTATACATTTGTGAAATATTCAATTAATATTTTGTAAGATAATGAAAAATCCGTGTCTTTCAAACTCTAGGAAGATGATTTATACAGAATCAACACAAACGCATAATAAAAGTCGGTGCATATAAGAATGTACATACATAGATATGTGTATAGTTTAGGAACGACTTGCATTGTTGTAATGGAGCTAGTGTTGGTGTAATAATGTTGCATAAGAATATGGAGGGTTTATTGAGGTGATATTATACTAGCTGCACATAATTAGCATTAATTTGTTTGTGTGAATAATTTGGTTTGCTTGAGTGGTCTGAGAGTTTTAAGAAAAATGATTAATTGCCCTCTTTTCTCTCTCATTTTGATGTTTCTACTTCAAATCCTTCGTCTCATTTGTTGTCCTGTCCATCCGTTCGCTCCGTTCTCAGTTAGGCTGGCCAAGAAAGCACAACAACCAACCAAGTCGAGTGGTATAAATGAGAGGAAATATATATGAAAAATTGTGGTTTTTTATTTCCCTCGAATTCACATTAGATTTGGGGAGTTTCTCAATGGACACAGCAAATTAATAGCGTCCTTGAATTTCTGATGCGTGCATGAATTTGATGCTGGGAGATTTTGACAAATGACTCTGTAGAGGGAAAAAATGTAAAAGCTCTTAAAACAATTCTTCTCTGCTCCACCACTTCTCACAAATTACAAATTATGAATTCAGTCTAGACTACAGACACCACCACGAGATTTTCCTCTCTGAGAAAACCAATCTATCAAACTGTTTGTAATAATTCTACTTCAATTGTATTTCATGTGAATAAATGGTGTAAACCGTCAGCTAAGCTTTAATTGGTTGAATATCACTCCATCAAATGTACAGAGATATACATATAATACGAAGCGTTGATTTAAATGCATTTCTCGTCTTGAACTTTGGTTGCTTAATTTTTGGGGTTTTAATGATCTCGATAAAAATCTCTGATCCGCCAAATTCTAGCAGGGGTTCTTACTAACGAGTATCATCTACCATTGGTGACCATGGGTTGATTGATTACTCGGACGTGTTTGTATCAGCCATTTCATAGTATATCCGGTATATCTGGTTAACTAAGTAAGGATTAATCGTCCACATCCATCCTCCTCATTTCATATCTTACCTTTAACGACTTGTTTCAAAGTGTTGTTTGACACTAGGATAAATAGCCATTGGCTGGAGGAAGTTTTATGCGAGCCAGCGACATTCCAAGTCAATAATCAAGTCAACAATAGATTGTTTCATAATGAAAATGGTATATATTTATTAAGACCCTCCACATGTATGAGTATGTATTTATATATTTATAAAGTATCTAGTCAACTGGTCTTTTGCACTACTGAACTCATTTCCCTGCAAATTGGCAAATGTAGTGTTGACATATTATGTGTAAATGTGCACATACATATACATATATATTCTTTTTTGAGTACCTTTCGTTGTTGTTGTACTACGTTTATGTAAACCAGTTTATCATACATTACTATGTTTAATTATAAATTATATAAATATCGTAGAGTAATTACTGCGGAAGATACCAGCAGGAAATGTGGCTAATTTTAGAGTGCTTGAAGAGAATATAGCAATGTGTTGCGTATTCCATCAAGTAGACTTTTAAACTTATCAACTTTCTTCTTTGATTTGCAGATATTTAGTTCCAAGGCCGATATGCAGTTGCACACCCAGATTCACATGAGGGAGGCGAAGCCCTACAAGTGCAGTTATGAAAGTTGTCGCAAAGGTAAGATTACAAAATTATTACATAGTTGTTCATGTTTTTTTATATTCTAAATCGATATTAATTAAACATATAACTAACAATTTTGTTCTTCTTTATTCTAGCGTTTGCAAATTCCAGGTAGGTTTCTAATACACATTATCAAACGATGATTTTTAAGTTTTATATGAGTATTTTTGACTATTTTTATTTTACTATCCAGCTATCTTTCCCAACACACACGTATACACCTAGGGATTAAACCTTATAGGTAAGTGAACAATTATAACAAAAAAAACATGCATAGCCCTCTCTTTAAAAAACTAATTCATTCTTGTGTTTAATAGGTGCGAAATTTGTCAACGAAAATTTACTCAGGTAATTTTATTTTTAAACCACTGAATTGATTAAACTCTAATGTTGATTATACTTATTAATTATGCTTATTAATAAACTAGCTGAGCCATCTCCAGCAGCATATTCGCACGCATACAGGGGATAAGCCGTATAAATGCCGTCATCCGGGATGCAACAAGGCCTTTTCACAGGTAAGGAGCAGACATTAATTAAAATATTGTCATATTTGTAGATGGTTGACTCAATATTCTATAATTTTTGCAGTTATCCAATTTGCAAAGCCATTCCCGGTGTCATGAGACCGAAAAGAAATTCAGGTGCAACAGTTGCTACAAATGCTTCTTCGACGAATCCTCTCTGCTGGACCATATTCCAAAGCACAAAGAATCTAAGCACCTGAAGACTCACGTGTGTCTAACATGCGGTAATTTGAACCTGAATGAGCTCATTTTAATCATTTTCATCATTTTACAGCTCATTTTAATCATTTTCTTTTTAAATTTCATGAAATTTTCATGAAATTTCATGTATTCATGTATTTCATGTATTTTTATATATGTATTTTGAAATACATATATGAAAAACATTTGATAACAAGAGAAGAGAAAGCTCGAAGAGATGATAATAATTATGGTAAATATTTGAGTTTCCACGAATTGTTATTTCTTACAGGAAAATCCTACACTCAGGAAACTTATTTGACCAAGCATATGCAGAAGCATGCTGAGAAAACGGACAAGCGATTGGCCCGTCAGAACAATAATAACCACCATCAGACAAACGGTAATTGGAGCTAGATTTTATGGTTTATAGAAAAATTGGAAAATGTTTGAGCTTGACCATAAAATTTAAATGGTTTTTGTAGTTTTGTATGCAGTTGGCATGATCTCATGTATTCATTGCATTCTTTCATGAAACAAAAAAGAGTGTTTTATGACGTTGAGATAAATTCAAGTATTTTGCATCAACTTGTTTGATGCACGCTGACGAGGCTATGAGACATGCACAATAAGTATTAACACATAAATAAAAAAGTTTTGTCTCTTCTCCTCAGAAAAGTAGATGAAATTTGTTCCATCAAGATCTCTCGGTATGTTTTATGAGCTGGTTGATCTTGTCGCAATTGTTTGATGTTATCTACGAAAATCTATTTGCGATAAATAAACTCCTGCTGGTGGGTAGTTTCATAAACAAGTCACTTAAAAAGATCTCACATTTGGTTTCTTGTTCTGGAGTCTCATATTTCGATTATAACTGACAGGTAGAGAGTTGAGTTAAGAAATGGTAATTTTCCATTTATCCGACACCCGGTGACCTTCCTCGGTCAATTTGTATGCAACTATACTTATGCACATGTCCATATCCAATTTGTGTGTATGTATATTTTTTTAAATATCTAAACTATATAAAGCAGGCGAGTGTATCGCTGCTGGCTGGGTCGGTGGCTTAGGATTAGTTGAGAAGTTAGCCTCTCCTTTTCTCTCTCAACTCTGCAGAGACAACAGGAGAGGCTAACTTCACTAATGTTGGGGCCACGGGCTTATCGACGGGCCTATTTTGCACGTCGATTGACGGGCTTCTACACTAGTTATGTATAATATAAACCATCGTCTTTACTTTTAGCTGATATCATCTACATATAACAATGCTGAATTTACTACCGTTATTAATCCGTCGTAAGAACTGGTTCAGATAATGAAATACCGAAAAGGTTATTCTGTCAGAAAATGATGTGTTCATGCGTTGCTGGTTTCTCTGCAGCCTCCAAACTTTGTGTTGATTTGCATTTCTAGTTTTGGCAACTTGTTGTTTAGTGCCATTTTGAGTAGTAGTCGTAATTGATTTTTAGCTCCGCCGTAGTACTAAACGTTATTATTAATTTAATTTTGTGAAAAGTGTAAAACTGCAGGGGTGTCAAGTTACGCCCGCAGCCTTTCTGCGCGTCTAATCACACCTCGGCTAATCTAAACTCAACACAGATAAAAGTTGGCACTTGTAATAAAGAAATTTGTGATTTATTGCAGGAACAAGTAATGGTACCAATGGTCAATCACACCAAATAAACAATCACCAAAACTCCAACTCGAGCAATGTCCTCCCAAGTCCAGAAATGTACTGGAAAGCGGAACTCGGAGAAAGCAGTCCGCCGTCAATGTGTCTCCCAGGAGGTAATTAACCTTTAGGATCCCATTTCAAAATTGTTGTCACGAAAAATCGCATCACTAAGTCCCTAATTAATCTTCAATTAAATGCCCTTTAAGGTCCAAATAATTGTCAGCTATCTGTCCTCACGCACCCAAGCTGCTGAATCTTTTTCGACCACACTGACCCGAATTTTATTTTCAAGAAAAAACCAACGGAATATATTTGTATTATCACATGCAATGATAATCCACAAAAACTACTTCCCATATACATATACTATTACCGTGGTGAAAAACCTATTAGTACAGCTTCGCATAGCCCGAACCAGAAATTTTTATCCCAGTGAGGCCTTATGTATTTGCCATGTCTGTCTTTCGGTCCACCGATACCATACACCCAAAACGGTTTGCCTTCAAATTTTGCAGGTGCCAAAAATAATCGAGTTCGCAAGTGAGCCAAATCTGTCGAGTGAGGTCATATAGATAGGTGGGTGGAATCGACACCAAACTTGAAAATATCGCTAGAAAGCTGAAATTCAGCACATTGAGTGCTAATGGCGTGTAATGAAAGACTCGGAGGGGAAATCTAAAAATATTTAACCAGAGGGACAATATGGGGTGGAGGAGGGAGATGACCCATACCGATTTTCAAAAATAGCCACAAACCTACATTGTCTGCAATTATACAATGTCCTTAGTCAAGGACGGACCGCTCCTAAATTTTTGTCCGAATTGACCGGACTGCGATTACCACACCCCGTGTTGGGAATGGTCGAATGTGTGCAGAATATTTGTTATTTTGTGGAGTATTTACAAATCCTTCCTTGACTACCAGGACCACTGTGACTTGCTTCTTTCAAATCTTCCAAAGTTTTATTTGCTATTCAGAAGTCATTTTTAGCCCCTATCCCAAATTCCAGCTGAAAATAGCAACTTTTAAAACCAGTATGGGTCACCCTCTAGAGTCACTAAGGTTACACATTGACCACTTTGAACTTCATATACTTTCATGAGAACCCATTCAGTATCCTATGCCGATTTTTATATTTTTACGACAATGTCTTAAAACCGGCATGGGTCACCCATAGGGTCCCCTCGGTAAGATTTTGCAATTTTACTTCATATTCTTTCAATAGAAGCCATTAGCAAGCTCTATACCAAATTTCAGCTTTCTATGACAATTTTGAAATTTTAGTGTATAGTACCCCATCCACTCAGACGACCCCCACCGGTCAACCACTTGACCAATTTCCCCATCTGCGAACTCGTTTCTAACTTTGTCCAATTTGCATATACTAAAAATTTCATGTGAATCGGGTCAGTCGTTTTGGCTCTAGCCTGTTCACGGACAGACAGACAGACGGACAACCATCACGATTCCATAAGCCCTAACTCGGGCGCCATATCAAAACCCTTCAATTTCATGCAATGTTTCCACGGTCGCCAAATTTGTAATTTTTTGAAAATACACGTATTTGTGTATACGGGATTCAACGCATTTTGTCGCGTATCCATGATATTCATGTATCTGGGACACAGGGTCAAATTTCAAAATTCCATGACATTCGTGGACTTGGGATTTGTGGGATGTTTTACAAATTCCATGACACTCGTGTACATGGGATTTAAGTGAAAATTTAATAAATTCCATGACATTCGTGGACTGGGATCCTAAAGGTTAAATATAATATAATGAAGTTATAACATAAATAGCTTGTATTTGATGGGTTTGTAGTAATAACTGGAGATAATAATTTGGAGATAAATAAGTGTAACAATTATTTATTAAACAGAGCAAACATAAGTAAAAAACAATAATAATTTTGTCTTCCAGGAGGTCAGTCCTCGCTCATCGGACGACCAGGAAGCGAGGGTGGGTTACTAATTATTTTAAAACATACCAATTTGGGATATATTTAATCATGTAATATATTGATTTACAACAAACGTCAACTTGCATGTTTACTTTCTTGGCCTCATTGCTCTTTAAATTCCAAATTATAATGCCCAAACTAATAGAAAATTCTTCTTCATCTTTTTTGATTCAATATCACCTTCTGCCTCCATTGCCTTTCTCCCTTTTCTTTTTTGCTTACTGCCTTGTTCGTCTGTCTGTTTATTTTTCTACTCCTTAAATCCATGCAAATCATTGTTTCAGTAGATGACTGTTTTTTGTGCAATATTAAAGAGATTTTCTGGTTACTGCATTTTAGGACCGGATGACCTTCGTTTAGGACATCATCAAGCTCAGTCCCCTACCCCCACATCACTCTCCTACGATGCCATTGCAAACGTGATTGCGTCCAAAAGTGCTGGTGCAAGTGCTTTCACTCCGATTCAAACGGTATTTGTAAATGTAATTCTTGATTTTGGGTTAAAAGTTTGTTTTATGCTAATTCAATGAAATTCGTCCCACATATTCTGATAGAATGGACTTTTGGGCAACTTTCAGCTGCAAATCCCAGCCAATATGGCAAGTGGCGGAGGAGCACCCGGGCGTGCATACTTACCTTATGAACCACTTTCTTTCCAAAAATCGGGTCATCACCAAATGTCAACAATGGACATGAAATCTCCTGGAAATTCATTTCCAAATCAACTCATCTCATCCGTTTGTTATTCGGGTTTGGAAAGGTAAAATAAAGTTGCAAAAAATAACAACAGCCGGTTTTAAAGCTACAACGTTCCTCGAAATCCTCTCTACTGAATCCATGTTGAGCTGATGATAATTAATAAATAAAAATCTATCAGTACAATTTAATATGCGAGGCTCAGAATCGGGGTGTGAGTTTACCAATTGTCAGTTTAAGGTCATGTAAATTTCTCAAAAACCTATCTACATACGTCACCCAGTGTTGGAGGGTCTCTATGATCAAAACAATTGCATATCTATGTCGTATTTAGTCTTTATGCAAAATTTCAACTTATTACGGCAACCGGTCTTACCTCTGCACATATGTATATGCGTGCCAAATATCAAGTCAGTCTATTAGCGATCTCTTGTTTGAAGAGCGTAATCGTTAACCGGACAGATAGTAGACAGGCAGACATGAAGGTTTTTCAGGACTTTGGCTAGATAATAATAGGCATAATTATGTTTAACGTTAACTTAATATTTATGTTTATGTTGCTTTAATTCGCTTATTGGATAATAACATACTGAATTTGTTGTTACGTATTTGCAGGAATCCAACAAACAAGACCAACCTCATCTCACTGCATCAAATTCGAAACTATGCTCATCAGCCCTCAATGACTCCAGAACACTTGCTTGGCCTCAAAGATAAATAAGAAGATGCGTGCAACATTTGGCCTCATCAAGAAATAATGAAAATATTCTCCTTTACTCCTTTAAACCCTCAAATACTAACATTCTGAGTAACACTTGTGAATTTCAATTACTTAGCAAAAAAGCAACACTCAACTAGTGTTACTGAAGCACGATATTAAAAGCATTTAGAATTAGCAAACTTTGACCTCAAATTGATATTTGTACATAATAGTTGCAAATAGTGTAAATATTAATAAGCGGCAAGAGCATGTAGTGCTACTAATACAAGAATGCAGATGAAAACTTCTCAAATATTCTGTTACTGTACGTACGGTGGTAATAGCCCAGTGCATAAATTAAGGATACTCATAATAAATGTATTTAATAGAACTATAAGATAAGCAACCAAAAAGACTTTATATAGGACATGACAACAACATTGAGAAGCCATTAATGGCAACAGTATACATCTACATGGGCAAAATATTAAGGATAAGCCCATGTGCATATGTACGTATCTACGTTCTGCAAGGGTTTAATGAAGAATTAACCGTCAAAAATACGGATTATAACTTGTGTCACAATTTTATGACTGCCTACTCGCAAGTACTATTTGGTTATTTTTTTATTTATATTTTTAGTTGGAATTAGAAATTGTTCGCTTTTTTAAAATTCCATATTTGAAACAATTTTGCTCTCTAATTCTTCTTTATAAAGATGACATGTTAGGACTACACACTCGACATTTCGGACCACTTTTGATATTGACTCTTATACAAAAAAGCAACTTTAAGACTGGTATGTTACTGTTCTTCCTGTGTCGTAGTGTCCAATACAAATACACTTTTGTGTTTTTTTGCATTTCCTTCTTTCTTGACTATGCAGATTTTTTTGTATCTTGCGTTTTAAAGTTTGTTATTTTTTTTAATGTACATTTTTGTTTTGCGAAAGTTGCTTCCATTCACTTTTTAAATTTCACCAAACTATTGTAACTTCTTGATAATTTTGATAATTTTATTCGCGTTTACCAGCTACATACAATTCATCAATTATATAATTATAATAATAATATTTGAATACCCAATGAAATATTTGTTTGTACAGTTTTAAACCTAGTTTTGTTTTGCAGTATTAATTGGTTATATATCCACTTGACAAATCGTATCTAATTTTAAGTAAATTATGCTTGTGATTGATAAACTTTGGATGAAAACATACCGGTTATAATATTTGTTTGATATGCGTATGGTTTACCAATCTAGTTTTAAATAATTTGTTTTTTTGAATGATTTACTTTATTGTTTAATTAGGACATACACAAGTTTTATTGTAGCATCTCAGTCGAGTAATTGGGAACCTAAATAATTGGCAACAGCACGTTTTGTCCTCGTTCATTAACAATGGTAGCGTGTAATAATCTATTGAATGTCCATCCAATAATGATAAGTACACTTAGCCGGAAACAAAGGAAATACGCATTCTGAATTTTTAGCCCGAGTGAATTAATCGAAAATGGCGTGAACTCGGCCCGTTTTACTTCCAGGTTCTCAGATTTTAGGTTCCAAATGACTTGTAAAATGCACCAAATAGAGTAAATTATTATATATGGCAACTACTACTACTAGCTTAAATTTACGGTTTATTAGTTGTGAGATTCCCCAGTGAGGCTTCCATCCAAATTAACTGGTTATTAACGGTTGAATAATTGCAAGTTTAGTAAAATAATCCAAAGCTTTAATTAGTTGTTTCTGGAGAATATATTAAATATATAGAATATGAAATTTAAATGACAATATGCACAAGATTACAAGATAATGTAAATTGGTTGGTCTCTTCATTTTTCGATACTGTGCTACTCATCCTCGTCATTAGAAATCTGGAGACTATATAGAAATAGAAGTGCTCAGTCTTTTTATTAGTTAAAATGTTTTGAGAGTAGATTTTCACAACTTTTTTTACCTTTTAGACCTACGTCTGCAATTTGATTATTTAAGTAATGTTTCCATTGTGTCAACAACCTCTTTTTAATTATATGTGTGTAATGATTACATTGTAATCGGTGAGAAAAAACCAAAAGTCCTCTATGGAAAGTGAGAATTTATTGTATATACATAATAATTAAACCACAAAAACAGAATTTTACAATATATTTCAAATAGTGTAGAACATTTTGAACAATCTAACCAGGAGTGATTTCTCGCAGTAACATTAAACAAAAATAAGAATTAAAATGAAATACGTTAGTGGATGGTAACTTGTTGGTGAGGAAAAGCTTTACACTTGAATTCCTGTAAACCAGGGATTTAGGTAGCATTATGTCGTATTGTTAACTCTTAGGAATTGTACAATAGTTGAATGTTGCAAAACTGATACTGTAGCAAGCAGGGATAGTTACGATTATCAAATGTTGTTAGTATTAGATGATTACTCTCCTAGATTTTAGTTCATACATAAATCGCAAAATTAGTTATAAACATACTATTTAGATTAATGCATTGATATACTATTTTAAGGATGGTTGATTAAAAGTAATAAAGAAAAATATTCAGTATCTCAATCCTTTTCATTGTTCCATTTCAACCGTATCAATCAGAAACAGCGCCATAATGCATCTTTAATCCCGGTGAAAGTTCATCACTGGGCACACATATTTATCAGTGGTTAAAATTTCATTATGTATTAATCGAATGAATCGAATTTTTTTATTATAGTCATTACTCCTTGCAATCAATAAAGAAAATTCGCATGAAACAACTGTTAGCGTTGTACATTCTAGTCTTGTGGAGGACGGTTTACCTTTTCTTGGATATTACTATTTGACGGTGTCCATACCAAATAGGTAAGCTTCGGCAGGTGGATTTTAGATTTTTGAATTTCCATAAAAAATAGGTCACAGGGCATGCAATTAGTGTAATAGAACAATAATTTTTAAACAAGTTGCCCCCAACCATCCGCTATGGCCATTATTGTGAGTCGGGGTAGGGGTCCGACCGTAGTACAGATATTTCTTCTTCATCTTTTGAGTTAGGAAGCTGAACTTTCGGATTCTACACCATCTGAGTGTCTCTAGGCGGCATTTTTCGGCGTTTAGCTTTCATGTCGAAAATGACCTTAAAACCGGTCAATTTTCGCCATGTATATTTCGCCATGTTGTTGTAAGTACAATGCCAAGTCTCGCATAGCCCTATAAATGGGATATCGTTAGAAAGGTTTCGACGAGCAGATTATGAAAATATATACTTTGTGGCGTCTGGGACGACTCCCTGATTTTTCAAAAACCAAAGAATGTTGATCAACATTCTTTGGTTTTTGAAAAATCTATGCGAGACTTGGCATTGTACTTACAACAACATGGCGAAATATACATGGCGAAAATTGACCGGTTTTAAGGTCATTTTCGACATGAAAGCTAAACGCCGAAAAATGCCGCCTAGAGACACTCAGATGGTGTAGAATCCGAAAGTTCAGCTTCCTAACTCAAAAGATGAAGAAGAAATATCTGTACTACGGTCGGACCCCTACCCCGACTCACAATAATGGCCATAGCGGATGGTTGGGGGCAACTTGTTTAAAAATTATTGTTCTATTACACTAATTGCATGCCCTGTGACCTATTTTTTATGGAAATTCAAAAATCTAAAATCCACCTGCCGAAGCTTACCTATTTGGTATGGACACCGTCATTTCTTGTTATTTCAGAAGGCAAATCATTCCTTTATTTTCAGACTATCTCAGAAAAGATAGTTGTCCTTCTTAAGTTTTAAACAAATTACATAAAAATACAATATGATTAAGTTTAATCCAAATTTTCTAGTGCTTATTCTTAAATGACATCCACGTCCGTGCCCTGAATGCTTCTTTGTGGGTTCAGTCAATTTCAGTCTTTCATATCGTAATCATTTGTAATACACTGCATGATGATCCCATCTTTCAATTCTGCTTCAATTCTTTTGGGTTGTAATTGATTTTGTCCTCAGATGATTGCGTTTAAATTAAACTGATCGTCTAATTTCACAAAATTATAAATATTACAAGTACTACGCAAAAATGATGCATAATGCTCCATTCGGTGTACATACACATATTAGAAATTGAGTTATTGGTTCTAGTAATTTTTTTTTGGGGGGGGGGGGGTGATTTCATCAGTCCCGAACACATGTAGATATGTAACTCGAAATATTGACATAGAATATTTTCGACGTCTGTCCAATTTAATAAATGGGGTTTCGATACAAAACAGTTCAAACTAAAAAGAAAATAACGCTCAGGGATAAATCGAAACTTTACTTGGGAACGCAGATAACTATGCACGTACATCACAAAATCAGAATCAGAGTTAGGGGCCTTCATAAAACCTCTATTTGGAAATTTTATATTTTAACTAAATACAGAATGATGCGTTGAGACGACGTGTATTCTTCAGCATAATTCACTCAGCAGTCATCGGTTGTTCATATTCAGCTTGGAATTTCTCATTTATTTTGCTTTCGTCCTTGGCTGTCCCAACAGCGAGATAGATTCTGATGTCGGAATGAGTTAAGTCAGGAGAAGACGGAAGACAGCTCCGCCCGTGGTTTGTTGGTTTTCGAGTCTATGAAGCATTCATGATGATGTAGGAGGAGGGAAGAGAAAGTTGGCTCGGCATAAGTTTTGTGGCTCTGAGGGAGAGACGAGCCACTTTATTTTCCTTGACTTGGTTGGCTTCCAGGGACGAAGGATGATGGAATTCCGGTCTGGACGGAATAAATTAAAGTTTTCTCACTGACTGAAAGTTGAGAGAGAGAGAGAGAAGTCCTGGAGGAGAGAGAAAGTATTTACATAGCACCACTTTCTCTATTTGAATAGGAATTAGAATTCCTCTCAGGTTCTGGCCACCACGATAGGCGATGGAGAATAATGACTTTGCCAGCCACCACAACACTCCGCCTGCCTGCTACATCATCCTGGTCTGATTTACCCAACTTAAGATTTGCCGAGAAAGACTAGCAGACGACGACTCGGGGGAAATGACGACAGCGATATTATTATTCAGCAAAAGCTCCATTGGTAAAGAAAGTGGGTAGGTTGGGGCATCATGTGAATAATGTATGATCTTTATTCTCTTATAGGCTCTGACTATCACAAAGTTTTAGGACTTGTTCTTTTCCGTTTCCCCTTCCTCCTCGGTTTCATTCTCGCTCGTATTCCTTCCACTACTCGTCCAGGCCTTCCTTCTTCGGATGAACGCAACCAATTTCACGTCCCCCAATCTCCATGCTAATCTATTTTAAGAACCAATTTTATGGGCAATCAGTTTAAAATTCAAATTCAATTCAAGTCGTCAGTATAAAGACTTCAGTGCTTCGCATACTTTCTGGCATCGCACCATGTGAAATGAATTTAGAGTGGACCGAGGAGGAAAGTCATTTAAACTCCCATCTAGACAATAAATTAGATTATTTAGCATTTTCCTGACAGCGACAACATTTTCCAAAAACTCTTGAAACATTAACAATTCAAAATGCAAACGAGCTACATGGTTCTAGCAGAACGCGTAACTGCCTTTTTTATAGGAGTATCAATAAGCAATTTCGTTACGTATGAAACGCTGAGATAATAATCGACTAGAACTATGAAAAATAAGCAGGAAAGAGGATTTGGAATGAATTAGGGTAAATGCGTATCTACGTATATCATTCATGCAGAATCTGGTTCCTCTATTCAGTTAGAATCCGATCGACCTGGAGTTTAGTGGCTCATTTTATAATGAAGGATGAAAATTATCAATCTTTGAGATTTGATAGGATTTTAACCAATTAAAAATATATCAGTCCCCAATTAAGAAAGGATGTAAAGATATCATTTCATGACTCAGAGTAGTATCTTATTACAGATGCCTAAAAAACATTCAGCCCTCTTCTCTGAGAATTTATAGAGTTAATTAAATTGTGACTCACGTTAACAGTATGCGAGGGAATATAGCATTTTAAGACTATAGAAGTATCTCATTTCAGAAATAATGACTTTCTGTGCAACCATGAAAATTCATTGTATTCGCTAAAATTGTCTCACCCCAAAAAGGCCTCATATGTACTGTGCATGGTCCATGTCAGTGTGTTGACGCTAATAAAAGTGTCACATAAGATTCACGCCTCAGTGAAGCAGGGCAAGGAAGGGGCGGCTGGCTGGTAGTCCAAGTGTCACATCCATTTCCCATAATGGACCTCATTTGCTCTTTCCATATGAAAAGTACTAAAACTAAAAGTAATAAGGAAAACAACAAGAACACCTTTCCTTCCGTTAACATTAATGTTCTTGATAATTTCAATGCATACGGAAATGTGAGTTTCATGGTTGAGATGATATGACAAATGTCACTCGTATGCCTTTATAGTTCATCTGTTTGAAAATGGGCAACATTTGCATATGAGTAACATGTAGTATTCCAGTCAATTCCAGGTTCACCATTGAAATTCAAGTAATAGAGCAATGAGATTTCATGCATATTATGTGGCATATAAAGCTTAAGTAGTATTTCAATCTATAACGAAAGCCACGGTTCCTCGTAATACCAGTTTATGCAACTTTAATTGGATGACTTGTCAATTAGTTATGTTGGAATGATGATCCACGACATCTTCCATTGACATTACGGCAACAATCCAATGTCGGTGTGTGGTATTAGCGAAAGGTTTCAAATTGATGTACATAAAGTGCTACTGCATATTTAAAAAAAGTTTGATTAGAGATGACCTCCTTGCAATGATCAGCAGCAGCCCTCACGGTGCAGCATTATTTGGTCTGAAGACGTATTGCATAAATATTCCGTCCATTATCTCATGCAGGATGATTTATTACCTTGTTTCGTAAGCAGGATTTTAATCTTATTACGCATGTGGGTAACAACGCTGTACTCACAATAATTATTCGGTTTTGTGCTCTCGACAACTTTCCTTTGCGTAAGTACAATAATATGTACTCGAGGATTGATCAATCAATTCCAGCATCAATAATACAAGTTTTTTGGGTTATGCGAAGAGTAAGTACATACCACATTCAGAAACCTGAAGTTACTTACTTTATTTTAGTTTTTAACACGAATAACTGTTTTAACAAAAATATATAGCTTTACATATATTTCACCTCTAAATAACTATTCGTATTCAAACCTGTGATCTCTTATGTACTTGACTGTAAGTAATGCAAAACCTTCGTATGAAATTAAGATGTTCACATTAGTTACAGATGCATACATACATCTGGTTCTCTTTGATAATTACATACTGTATAGAAATTGTCCAAGATTTTAATTTATGAGCACGGTCTTCATTATGTATTATTCATCATGAAGACGAGTTGTTATTAAGAAATATTTTGGCAAGTTCCCTTTGACAATGTGCGTTTACATGTGAAATCCACATGTAAAATAAATGGACCTTGTTAATGAACGGCGGAATGGCAATTAGCGGATGCCTTATGGAAGAGTTCGACCCGAGTCCGATTCGCCGCTTTGTAATCAACAAGTTATAACAAGACAATCGGAACAGATGCTGACAAAATTGATGGACGAGATCGTTTAAGCCGAGCTTAATCTTAACCAACCACATCACATTTTTCATAAATGGTTCAATTTTCGTACAATGCAGACCAAAGAGTGTGTACAAAAAATTATACAAATGGTCAGATACAACTATGTAGCTGCACATATGTATCGCATCAGGCAGCTCTTCTAAAATATACAAAATCTACAACTTGAGATCATTTATGCTCTCACGAAAAAATCAACTCAGCGTGAGAAAAGTTTCTAATATTTCGTTCATTTCTCATCGATTTTTGCGTGATCCAAAAACCAGTTTGTCAAGTTCAGATTTGTTTGCTCCTTGTTTGTAAAGGTGGATAAACACCTCTCTCACACATTGCACAACATGCTTTGAGTTCGGTTCGGACATCTACAGAGTTCCACCTTCGTATCTCGTGACTTTGTTTCGAATGATTTTCTAATGCAATCAGTTCAATGTTGGGCTGCTTGCCGTTTTTAATTTTTCTGGATTTGCAGGACACGTTTTTGAGAATGTATTTCTAGGATGGATGAATGCGGGGAGCCATTTAGTATTTTTGTCGAATTTTACTACATCCCGCTGGTGCACAATCATTTTTACAAGTTTAAAACAAATCATAAATGCATTGATTTTTTTCCCCGAACAAACTGCTGGTTTCAATTCATCTTCCCAACCTACCCCTTTCAACTTTCAAATCAATTTTTATCGGGAGGAATAAATACCCAAACGTTAAACTAAACATTGTTAAACCAACGTCCAACATATTGGGTTGTCTGCAACTGGAATTTAGTTTACTGCTTGCTTCTGCTACTGCATGTTAAGCTAAACCCAAAAACTTGATTGGCGAGGAGGAGATGTAATCAGATTTTGAACCGCAGTTCTAAGTTGTAAATTTTTTAAATGATTCAATGACTACGAGTACCTACCGGTTTCAGAGGCACACTGCAGATTTGATTTCAATTGGTTTTGTACAATTGAGAAGAAAGCAAAACAAGATCTGCTGACCAAAATCGTTGACCAGTGTTACATTTATTGCTCATTTAAATTGTTATTGACAATTTTAATACAGTGGCATCGATTGTTTTAGCGTTTAGTTTTTGACAAAAATGTGCATCGATTTTTAAAGACTTGCGTAATATTGAGATAAGTACAGTGTTAGTGAACTTGACTTGAATGAGTTTAAACAGTATTTCGTTTCCAAATGTGCAATAACAGGGAGAATATTAACCAAAGTTCTTAAAATCCAATGACACTGAAGGCATAACCAAATAATAACTTTTGGGTTTCCTCGTCATGTGAAGCAATAACGAGATAATTGCTCTCAGGGATAACCGCCATTGGTGGGTTCACCCTTATAATTTTGTTCAACGCTACCAACCATCACAGATAAGCTCGCTCTTCTTCTGCATGCATGCAAGGCCTGCGATTCTTATCTCTTGTGAATCATGGTGATTAAAGAAATTCTCATTTGGAATTAGCCAAGTCATTACAACTTTGTGTGAAGATTCGTGTGCTAATAATTGTTATCATTTCCCATCTCGGTTTACGTCTCGTCTTGTTGTCCCAGACAGACGTAATAATATGTATACGTATGTACATGCATATACATACCTCCGTTCATTTGCCCACTATCGTGTTGATTCTGGTGATACTTAATTTGATTTTCTTTGGAGTACTAATCCGTAGACATTCTCAACAATTATATTTTTTGGATTTCCTAATTAACCTTGAGAGACCGAGAAAGAAATTTTATGAACTCCATCCACATTATTTTTCACAAGATCGTAAAATTTTCCAAAACAAGTTGCGTGATTGTTTGTTGAAAGTGCCCATACATATATATCTACGTATTCCAATGGTAGGTGTGTGTGTGTTGGTGAGACTTTTAATGGGACAATAAAAAGTAAACGGAACGATTCACTTTTTAATAACAGATGCAATGATAAGTGTTAATGGATATGGAAACAACGCGGAGGGTGTCGCAAGCCAAAGGGACTATAAATTCAAGACTGTGACAAACTAAAGTCTGCAACAGGCCAGTCAAATCATAAATTACGACGCATCAACTTCATCCTGGTGGACGGCAGAAGCGCTGTTGCTAAGCATGAAAGAGGGCAAAATACAAAGTCGACGAGGAAAGTACAAAGACTATCAAATTTCTGGATGAGGAAGCAGGAACGGGAAGTTTTTGAAGTGCAAGGAATAATGAGAAAACTTTCCTTTTCCTTCATTTTCTGTAGATGCTGGAATATCTTCCTCGCCGCCGCCCGAGTGGGGGGAGCAGAGTTGGGGAGAGAAAATGGAGCCGCAGTATTTAATTTCAAAGACTCCATCCAAGGAAGATAAAACGAGAGTAGACGGAGGAGAGCAAAGCTTGGTTTTAATTTTGTCATAAAACGGCCAAGTAATCGGATTAGTTTCTCAAATTCTCCAACTTTAATATATACTTTCTCTCCTCTCTTTCTCTGTAATCTATTCACTTCAACTTTTCCTGCAAATTTTCCATTATTATTGAAATTTCCCTTCGGGATCCCCATATAAATTTGGGTTCAGCTCTGAATGGAAGTGTTGATCCAGGGAATTCTCATTTCTCAGAATGAATGGTAGATTCCACCAAGTACTCAACTTTGGTAGAGTTTTAGAGAGGAGATACTTTCTCAAGTTTAAGAAATTAAAGTTTTCCACAATAACTTGACGCCTTGCTATTTATTTGTGTGAGCTCCTTTGTAATTTCTATTACAAGTTTCTTGGCTAATTAAGTTTCGCATATTTATCTTTGCGCAACCTGGTGCATAATAAAATTAGTTGTAATTATACTCGAGATCGTAAGTTAAAGGTCTAGTAAAAATTTTAGTGCAGGAGCAGCTTTTACGAATGCGTATGTAAATAAACATGGGCCATGAAATCCGTTTGGGTGAAAAGGGAAAGGAACTTTACATTCTTTCCCTTCTTTTCATTTTAATCAATAGTCGCACGTGGAGAAGGGGAAAGTACATAAAATGGAAAGAAGGAAATAAATTCCAACCGAGGAAAGGAAGTGAATATGCTCATGATGAATAAGTGGTGGTATGACATTTACCATTCCCAACCGCCCAACCAACCCGGATTCCAAGGGAAACGACCCCTCCATCTCCGTCGTCGTCGTCGTTAGCATGCAAAGCAATGGCTGAGCTGGGATTATTGATCTTGCCCTCACTGTTTTAATTTCCTCTGGATTTTTCCAAGCAGGGAAAAAGGACTGGCTGGGCTGCTGGAGTGAAATAGCTTAAAAGGAGAGGAAATGGAGTCTCCAAGGCCGAGATCTTTGTCATCTCCCGGGTACCCAAACTACTACCTCCTCTCTTTCTACGCTATACAATCGTCCAAATATCTGCGTATATAGTCTGCCACATCCTGCGTGGCCTGATGCAGGTCATATACGAATATTCCAACAACAAAATGTTATAGATCTCTCCACACAAAGAGAGAAAATGAGAAACTTTGTTTTATACAAGGATCATTTGGCTCCTGGGAAATACGTCTATGCTCTGCGGAGGGGATCGACTTTCCCCTCCTCACCATCACCACCATCACTTTCCTCCTACCACTTATCTTTAATATCGTCATGGCGTTTTTATGCTCATCTGCATAAATGGATACGCTCCCGGGTAGAAAGTAGAGGGGGTCCCTACACACCGCTTATAAAACCTAGGATGGGATGAGGATGATCAAAACTTGGGGTGTGGGAGAGAGGAAGAATGGCGAGCAACCTATAAAAAGTGGGTAGCTTTCTGAAAACAGCCAGCCATGTTTCTCGGATTGAGGATGCGCCGAAAAATGCGCCACGACATCCTTCTTCGCAAAAGTCGTCATCCTTTATGTAGCTGCTGAATCAATACACAAGATCTTCAAGGTATTTTTTACGAATTGCCCCAGCCAGCCAATGTTATGCATATTCACGACATTGTGACGGTGAATGATATACTGAGTGTAATTTAATGAATATTGGGAATAATGTTAGTACAATCACTCTGCAAAATATACAAAAATATAAAAGTTGCGTAAGAGGATCCACTGACCACAGACAGAGATTTGCAATCTGTGTCCTTTCCGGTCTAGTCTATAGATTTGAATGGAATCCGCTCAGGATCAAGTTCAAAGAGCATTGTTCGGGTGGTTGGTGGCATTGTCCCAGTTTTGCAAGCATTCAGTGCAACTGATGTAATTTATAAATGGAATGGACACACGGAGTTAGAGTCCAGCACTTTGCCACTACTGCTGCTACTACTATTTACTGCTCAATCCTGGTCATTCTCCCCAATTCCATCGCCACATGTGTACAAATGCCCATGCATGCTTGCATCTAATTCTCATTCAAACATACAACCATACACATACGTACCTATATACGTACATATTTACATATGCTCACAAGCAGTGTAGTGCGGTATAACTCCATGAGAGCGTTATGGAATTTTCGGACATTTCATATTACTAGCTCTTTATATGTTTGTTGACCAGTCTCATGAAAATAGAGAAAAGCAACACGTGAATCGCATTTGCAATGACAGCTCATCTCGACCCATGGTTTTCTACCTACTCCTTTTCTTGATGAAACAAAAGTGAGAAACTTTATCTCCAAATTTCTCATGTTCTCATCCCAAAACTGGGCTTTGTCCTATGAAACGAATGAAAAGATGTAAATTGAATCAAAGACATGAGAGTGGGGAGGGTGATACGGATACATGTGACAAATATACAAATGATATGCGAGAAACAGAAAAGTAATCCCAGTATCGGGTTTTAATTGATGCAGGAGAAACCGGTTGGTAAGGTGCCGTCCGAGGAGAATGATACAGTATGTGCCATTCAAGGTGGGAAAGTACCTGCTCCTCGGTGGGAATGAGCTGCTGGACAGCAGGAGCAGTATCTCACACAAACGTCCTCCTTTATTCTTCTCCTTAATATGAAGGCTGGGGTGGTGGCATATGCGATAATGAAACGAGATACTCTTGGTCCACTCTGGTTCCGTGTGAAAATTTGGGAAACGAAAACATCGTCATCCCCAAAAACCAGTTCTGATTGAACTCGGTCCAGAAGTGGACCAAGAAAAATTGGCTCATTACGAAAAATCTGATGGAATTTGTATATGGACCGGTTCTTTCCTAATCGAAATCACGTAGCATCATGTCATTCTGAGATCAATGAGAAACGGGAGAACCAATGTCCAGGCCGGAATGGATTAAATTATTCACAATGACCCATTGAAGTCCACTTTTGCTTAAAAATCTTGCATCCTGGGAAAAATTGGAAAAATTAATTTTTATTCTAGTGTCCTTCCTCCCGTTACTTTTATTCATTCAAAAGATGCTTTATTTCTTAGACGTCCACGTCCTCAATTTAGCTACCTATACTTTTGTGGAGAGCTAGTTTTTGTGCTTTTTATGCTCACTTCTCTCCAGTTTATTTCTTCTATTCAATTCGACAATGAATTTATGCCGTTACTTTCCTAAACTTTTTATCTTGGTCACTCGGCCAATGCTTGCCCTCTGGTTCGTCCTTACTCCTCCCATCTTATGATCGGATTGGCATCTTTTTACTTTCTTCCAAAAATACATGTGCATACATTTCCTGCGTTATGGTGATGCAAGGTCCAGTTTGGTCTTTGGCTGGATTTTTCTTCTCACAACTTGTTTCTTTCCTGGTTCAGCAAGATCTCGGGCTCCTTATTGATAATCCTAAACTTGTTTTCATACTGATACTAATACATGCATAAATATCCGACCAATAAATTAACCCCGAGATTTCGCAACCGAGGTGATAGATTTTTAGAACAAGTGACCTTGGGTCAAACTGGTCCTGTCAGTTTATGCTAATAATTTGCAAACTGTACCCCAATAATTTGAATATTTGATTTCTACTTTGAAATTGGTTTACCATTACAGTTATAATAATTACAGTTAGAATAATTAGAAGTACTTTAGTAATAAGTTGTGTTCTTTATTTTATCTGATCGCGAACTTTGCCCGTGAGAAGTGTAAATTTAATTTGTGTGACTTTACAATTAGTGAAAATCAAACATTTAAAAATTCTGAGAACTGTAACATATTAAAAATCAACATCTACAGACATGTATTTGGTTCAAAATGCAGCCCATCACCATCAAGCAGCAATGTCAATCCACCAGCAGCAATTCCACCCTCACCACCAGCAACCTTCGTCCGTAGAGCTGTCTCAGGTTGGTAAAAGTTATTGAATTGCGCATTTAGCCACAGGATTAATAAAATACAGCATTTTTCTTTCTGCCTACTTAATGGGCATGTCCTTAATTACTCTCTGAGAATTTATTCTGCATCCATTATTGTGCTCCCTGCACTACCTGCACTGAAATAAATGATAAACATAAATTTGTTGGTGCTTGGTGCGAGAAGGTGGAACTAATGAGCATGTGGTAAATTGATGAGCAAATTCTTATTTTATCCTATTTCTCAACGACAAAAGCATTTTCTGGCCGTCTTAACCTTATAAACATATAAGCACATGCATAAAATGCTTAGTTCAAGTTTTTAGTAATTTTGTCAATATTTGTGTGGCAATAATTCTTTGCACCAGCTTTCTGAAAATGACACTACTTATGCAAACTGACTTTTTTTATCACGCCAGCTCAGGATTAATGACAGCTACTTCAAAAAATAGTGTGTATCATAATGATATTGGAGACATTTTAAGTGGGTTGTAACTTTTCATAGATTGCAATCAGTGCAAACTAAAGTCACACATCTGCTTCTCCTTTCCCACACTTTTGCAAGATTTGTTCCAAGATAATGGTTACTTGATCCACAAGAGATCTGATCCAGACGAAGTCTTCAGATCGCTATTTTATGACTGGTTTATAACATTAAAGTAAAATTATGTTCTGGTTCAAAACCATGCAAATTTTGTGCCCATGAAAAAAAGTCGTCACATTTTTTAATGACTAGTATTAACTAGGCTGGACAGAACACCTAGTAAATATCTATATTTGGTGATAGTCACCTACCTTTAAACCATTTAAACAATCACGATGAATCTTTCATACAAATCTCACGTGAATTTAAGTTCATAAGTCAATGATTCAAGATATATTTTTCATCAACCCTGTGAAACCTTGTGTTAATTCAAAAGCATTGGGTTAAAAACTCAATATGTAAAGTAAATATGTATGTATAAAATTGTTACATAATGAACCGAAAAAATTACCATAATTAATTTGTTACTCAAACACGCAACAAAAGGTGCTGACGATTTACACTGTAATTTTTAAATCGAATGGCATGAAAACCTTTAAAATTGATTAACAGAAGCCTGTGCACGAAGTACGTTTGATTGGACAAGAAGAGCTGATTAAAATGTTAGGGATGAAATCGTAAGAAATCTTGGACTCTAATTTAATTAAATTGATGGAAAAGGAAGAGGATGTTGAAAAGTAGAGCTGACGCAAGTAGTCCCATCCTCACTAATAACCTCAGACGACGGTATGTTGGATTGAAGTTGTTTGTGAAAGGTTGACTGCAAGATTGTTACTTTTCAACATCATCTCATCACGAAGGACGTCAATCTCTGTGTGTTGTTATTAAATTCATCGTCTCCTTTCATCTTTTCTCTTGTGAAACTCTGTCGTTCTCAACTTTAGATTTTGTTGCCCGAATTTTCATTAGCAAAGCAAGTCTCCCCATCTTCTAAATAAATACAACAGGGCTTATTCAAAACAAACTTCTTGATTATTTGAGAGAGTAAATTCTGAAGGAAACGCGCCACTAAAAGGCTCGCTTGTTCAATAATTTCGAATTTTGCTGAGAGTACGCTTCTGTCAAGAGCAGAGTTCTTGTTTGACATCTCCAGGCAAAAGGCAAAAGTAATCAAGAAAAGGATAATTAATGAAAGGAATAATAAGGAAGGCTGTGTAGAAGGAAATCATAAGATTTTCATGACGGGCAAGGGTTGACGGAAGGAGGAAAGAAAGACACGAGGCAGCTAAATATACAATCTTCCAATTTTAGAAATTTCTGTTTATCCTGTATTACGTGTTAAAGCTAGATTTTCATGAGTTTGCTGTACTTTTGGTGAAATATTTTTTTAGCATCAGAAAACGAAGGACATGTTTCTATGTAGTCGACGCAGTTTTGATTGGGTGTTTTGCCTGGAATCGGATGAAAGGAAATCGGAGATGCAACCATTAGTCCCCTCTCACCAGCATCCTCAACCACTCTCCCTGCCCCTCAGTTCCAGGAAAGCAACTTTTTGGATGCTGGAAAGTAGAGCCCAATGTATGCGATACTACCAGCCAGCCTCACTAATAATTTAAGAGGGTATGTTATAATTCAAGTTGTTTGTGAGAGATTAATTGCACGACGGAGAGGAATTCCGGGTTCTCAGATTCATAAAACTTTTGCAAAAGTAGCGGATAACCTTTTGTTGACAAAGTTTTTGGAGCATGCCGTTTGAAACTATAGGTATCAAATTTTTTCATAAACATAAAATAATATAAACCAATTATGCATCTTAATTTATTATTTGTTACAATGGGAGGGGAATAAAATTAAAGGTAGTACTATTAATCCTTAGCCAAGTTAAATCACTTAATCTTATTTAAATATTACGTTATCAACGACTGTTACACTTCAAGTAAATAAAAACTAATTACTTGTACGTAATATACACAAACAAATATGCACGTGTTTAAATATTTACTTTTGGAGCATTTGAGCGTGCTTTCTAGTTTCATTGTGGTTATTGAATTTCTGTACCTCGTGTGTACAAAAATTGCAGGGAAGGCAAAAATACCAAACCAATATTTGCGCAGCGTTATGTATTTCAGTTTCTTGATGTTTGATCCAATGAGATTGTTTGTCAGTCCAATAATAACATTTTGAACAAGTAAACTTTGCGAGAGGATTAAATGCTGCTTTTTTCTTTGCACAGATGCTTATGTGTAGCATATATTGCTCATTAATTGGAGTGTAAGCAGGGCAATCAGGACAATACTTGATGCGACTATCGAAAGAACCTTTGCATACCAAAAGGTGCTGAGAAATGTCTTTCTTGTGATTGGACCGAAATCCACAATGATTTTCGCATTTGTACGGTTTTTCATTCGTATGGATCATAATATGTCTAGAAATATCTGAAGGGCTTGTACTTTTTAGTTTTACTTCACAATACGGACAATTTCTAATACTTCGATTAATCAAATCAGGAATCTGACATTTAATTTTCGAGGAATGCTCTATGTTTGGATATTCTTCTGATTCACAACGGATGAAACATTTTAAATTGATGTGGTCACTAAGATGCATGATTGCATCATCATAAGTGGGTTCTACCATCAAATAAAATTTTCTCATTGATTGTGCAAATAATACATAATCTAATCTGGATTTGTAAATCTTGCTATTCGAGCCATATGCAAATCTTGTGAAAATTGTTTGTGGCCATAGTTTACTACACAAATTTCCAAAACTACATTCGGTGAATTTGTCCATGCATTTCTCATAATATATACATCTTGGGTCCGAAGATGACATGTGCGGAACTAAATCATTGTTCAACTCCATCATATTAAAGTCTCCGACCCAGATGGCGTGTCTGCTTTTCAATTTGTTGCATAATTGGCCGATTGTCGTTACCCAATTTTCCCGTTCAGTATCTCTTGCACTATCATTTGCATGGTTGCATGGGAGATAAACATTTACAAAATAAATTACGTTGTTTTCATTTACTGGGTGTCTTACATTTATCATCATAATTCTTTCCTTATTTTGCGTAGTTATATTGGTGAAACTTTTACTCATATCCGTATATAGGATGTTAAGACCTTTTCTGTAAAAAACACATAATCCATAACTTATGTAATCTGAATATTTTGCCTTTACTGCACTATGGAATTTAGCGTTAAACCCATATGTAAGAACCAGAGCCAAAATTTTTGGCTCGTCTGATGGATTTAATTTTGTCTCTTGTATGAAAATTAAATCACTTCCTACCCAAATGGGCATCATGCGTTTAATTTTGGTTTCATCAATCCCGTTGGCATTCCAAGAATGATAATGAAGGACAGTATTTTCGACAGATAATTTTTGTATTTTAGGTAAAGACATTTTGGGGAACAAATCCCTTTATTAATATTCGCACTAAGCAGTTATTTATTACACCGCACTAAGCAGTTATTTGTTACACCGCACTAAGCAGTTATTTGTTAATACTACACAAAGTAGTAATTTATTAAAAACCGCACAAAGCAGTTCAGATGTATAAATATAAAAACTAAAATTAACAACTAAAGCTATATGTAGCATAAATTTTAGGGGGTTCAGAACAACAAAAATCGATGTAGGAAGATGCCAGCTGCGCAAACGCGACCCTACAAAAAACAGACAATTTATTCTCATCCTTATGCATATTTTGTTAATTTAGTTTTATTTTGGTAAATCTTATTAGAAAGATAACCTACCTAGTTCGATTATCCATCCAGCAACAAAAAACAAGATATAAAATCGAAGAACAACGAAGACGTGGAAGTCTTGCTTGTGGGAAGCAGGAAATCTGCACAACAGAACATGAATAAAAAAACTACATTATAATCAAGCTTTTTGGCCCGAGTCAGAGATTATGGTACCAGTCTGTCCGTGTATCTGTGGACAACGGAAAGTCTATAACGGCTGCACCAATTAAATTGAAATTTCGACCACATGTATACAGAAGTAGGTTAGGAATCGAGTTCGAAGATGAGTCAAACTGGTCCAGTGGTAAATAAGTGGGGGTCATTTTATTTTGTGGAGGTCATTCTAAATGCTAGTAGAAGGTTAAAATTTAGTATGAAGGTAACTAGTGGGAACTAATGAAAGAATATAAAATAAAATTTAGAAGGGCGGTGTGTTTTCCTACTCACACTGACTCGGGCTTAATGAACACTGCATTGAATGTTTTTAATTTTAATTGGACGAGTTAAAAAAAGACGACTTACCTGGACGTTTGATGATGACGAGGAGATGACGACGAGGAGCGGACGACGACTACAAAGTTTGATGAAGAGATGATTCCTATCAGGGACAAAATTGACAAAAACATTATTATTTCGTTCTATTTAGACCTTAACAATTACTAAATATTAAATTAGTTATGAACTACCTGAATTTTCTTTCGGAGAGAGAGAGAAAACATCCACCCTGCACGTGTGTTCAGCAGAAGTGAGTGAGCGAGCAGCAGTGGCAGCCAAACGTCACTTGCAGTTCGAGTTACGTTTGGCTGCCACTGTTGCTCGCTCACTCACTTCTGCTGAACACACGTGCAGGGTGGATGTTTTCTCTCTCTCTCCGAAAGAAAATTCAGGTAGTTCATAACTAATTTAATATTTAGTAATTGTTAAGGTCTAAATAGAACGAAATAATAATGTTTTTGTCAATTTTGTCCCTGATAGGAATCATCTCTTCATCAAACTTTGTAGTCGTCGTCCGCTCCTCGTCGTTATCAATCGTCCAGGTAAGTTATCTTTTTTTAACTCGTTTAATTAAAATAAATAAAGCTAAGTTACAAAATAAAAGAATTTATTTTTATTCATATCTTTATATGCAGATTTATAGTTTTCCACAACAGAGGTCTCCGTTGTTCTTCGATTTTATTTCTTCTTGGTTGTTTGCTGATCCTTAGAGGTAAGTTATTATTATTTAAAGTGCAATAAAGCTAGGTTAGCAAAGGGTTAAAACTAGATCTCTTTTGTTCATTTTCAGATGGACGACTTTATTGAACTGAGCTATAAAGGACCAGCAGGTGGACTTCATCGCGCGATCCTTGGAGATGGTGATGGTCGACGTGGATCATTTAGAGGTGTTGACCGTGGCCGAGGTCGTGGATTTGGTGGAGATAGAGGTCGTGGTGGATTCAGAGGACGTGGAGGATTCGGTGAACGTGGAGGATTCGGTGGAAGAGGACGTGGAGATCGGGGTCGTGGCGGTAGCGTCACCAAGAACGGTAAAATCTCTTTTACTAAGAATAATTTATTAAAATATTTATTTTTTATTATTTTAAGTGAATTTTATTTTATTCCACTGTAGATAAGCGAAAATGCGCCCTTTGCAAAGAGCGAGGTCATCTTGCAAAGTGAGCAAATAATTATACGTCAGTGCAATCAAGTAGTCTAGTTGGTTACCAATTTAAACTTTATTTGATTTTCAGTAAATGTCCGTATCCTGAAGACGAAGCCAATAAGAAAAAAGTCGCTGCTCTTGAAAAGCACGCCGAAGCAGCTGTCGCCGCTGCTGCCAAAGCTTCTGCTGCCACTTCTTCTACCGGTGCTACTACTGGTTCTTCTTATTCTGTCTTCAAGCCGCCCTTTGCCACGTGGAAACCAGGCTTCATTATGCCTCCTCTACCTGCTCATAATAATGATGTTAATATGGCCTAATTTTGTTTTTACTTACCTTCATGTTATAACCAAAATGTTGTACTTCAATTTTGCTTCTTTACTTACAAGAATAAATTAATTTCATCAAAATGGGTGCCGTATTATTTCAAATTTTGACCAGCATATAAAATAGCTGAGAGAGCTGAGAGAGAGACCTCAGAGCCCGTTATCACAGAAGTTTTCCATTTACTTGTAATTTCTCTTTGAATTTCAAGTCTCTGACGATGAGAGAGAGAAGCACTCAAACTTTCCAACTCTCTCTCTCTTCTGCCGTCCAACAGCGTTTTAGTCTTAGTTCATTTGCGGAATTAATAACCACCTTATATGCAGTAAAGTGTGTATTATTTCAAATTTATGCCTTGTGTTATTGCCTCTACTTTCTCTCTACTTTCTCTTTTCCTTCCCATTCCACGGCCTGAAAGCAACTTTAATTTCGCTCTTCAGCCTTTCTCTCTCCCCGCCGCTCTAGTCCTCCTCTCTTAATCAAAACAACTTTGCCATAAGAAATTACGCGCAGAAAGCTCCTTTGAATTTGTGGAAACTGAACGAACCAAAGCTTGAGATGAGTGTTTCACTCACAAAAGCTCGTTAGAGCACAAAGAGTTTGTTATTTTCCTTTCCGACTCATGTGGGCTTTTGTTGCTGATTCTAGTCTTGTGCTTAATATCACGTTTCACAATCAGCGGTGCCTTGGCTCGAGAATTACGTATTTCTCTGCCTCGACTTTGGCGTTGGCTGTCTGCAAAGCCCAAAATGAAAATAACCACGAGCATTAGAATTAGAATTATGCTGTCCTGCGGGAGATATGTATGGAGGGATGATTTCCTTACATTTTAACAGGTAGACAAGACCACCGCATCTAAATTCTAGATTTGGAGATTTGTTGGTTAGTTCGAATAGTCTTCAAAGCCCTGGAGCCCTTATTCCTCAGTTTGTGGGATGGTCGTTAGTTATGCACAAGTTGCTTTTGCATGACAAAACTCTGAGACGGGTAGTTGGCAAGTGGATGAGATGAATAAACTTCGTTGGTTGAGTTGGTGCCTAGAGTCCGAAAAATAAACAATGCTCGGGAAGCATGCAGATGAATGAGCCTTAAGTAGCACGGCGCTGGTGGTATGCTCATTTGCATTAGAAATCTCTTTGGCTTTCTCCTAATGTCTTTTCAGATCAGGGCTAATAGTCCGCATTCGTATAGTCATATTAAGCCCAAGGGTGTCCGTGGCATGGAGGCGGCGGCGGCGGCATGGGTGCAGAAGCCCTTCCTTCCGAGGAATGTACAATTCTTATCTAAATGTTTATTTTGCAGGTTTAATGTTGGAATTGGGATGAAAACGGAAATAACAGACTATTTGTTCAGATACTTAAGTACCAAGGAAGCTCTTGAGTGAAAAGTAAACTGAATTACGAAAGGAAATGGCAAATAGCTTTGGTGGGGTATTGGAGAATAATGCTCCATAATGTAGAGCACAATTCCAATGGTTTCATGAGTAAACGGGTCTCACGGGAAGGACTAAATCTTTAGAATTATCCAACTTTCCACATTTACTTGGGTTTTAGTGCTCAGGTTTTAGACCACCTGCTGGCCGCCTAATGCACATTAAATATTTATCCACTAGTGCATACCTACATACTTCGGGACTACAAAAGAATCTACAGAATATATATATCTAGAAGTACAATAGAAAAGGGTACTTTTGGCGAGAGGCGCACTGAAATAAAATGGGCACCACAGTATTTTCGTCCTTTTCATAGTTGCATCGATATAGAATGGCTCATTTCCCTTCATGACTTTTAAGAATTTTATGCCATCGTCTAATTAAACTGGAAACTGGATCCTCAAAGACATAAATCCTTCCCGTGGGTTATGTGAGGCAACAGTCGTCTCCTCCTCGGCAGAAGATGAAGAGAAAGCAAATTATAAATTTTAGAATTGTAGCAGCAATGGCAGCATTTGGTTAAATTTCAAGGGAAAATGACACCATTTTGCTAACGGCTATTCGATATTTTCCCGTCTGTCTAATTTATCACCAAATACACAGGCAATAGGATAGGCAACTTTGATGTTTAAAATGTCTTGGCTTACAGGGACAATAATTCATTTTCCTCTGAAGTACCATGTGCATTGTGCCACTAAATATGCTGCTTCTACCGGTGAGAACCATTTCTTGCTTACATTATTGCTGTGTAAGCTGGTGTTGTTCATCCCAATAAATAATTTATTTATCAAGAAAACGAAGATGGTGGTGGTGAGATGGGTTGACAACAAAGGGACGAGATAGACTTTAGGAGCAAGTAATCTCAAAACGGTGGAGAACAACAAAGACGAAGAAAATCCCCAAAACAAAGTCGACGGATTTCAGAGACATTCATTTTCATGAATTTCATCCTTCTCAAAGTTCTCATTTTGGCTTTGTCGTTGCTGGCTCATTTAGAATTCTAATACGGTGCTGATGTTGGCAAGGCCTGGTTTAGTATCTGTTTGCCAGACGTTTTGTTATTCTCTTGCAAGTGTTTTGTGCTGGAAATTAATTCATTAGTATTCGTTTTACAAAGTTGAATCTCTCCGACGAATTCTCTCTTCAATTCCGGACTTTCCTGTGCCAAGTGTACTGGTAAAACTTGGTGGCACAGCACAATAGATTTGACATGCAACAATTCGTTACTTACTTAGCTTTACTACCACTTCAAATCCAATACAATCCTTTCCCAACATGCAAAGTTATACTTTCTCCTCCTGTCTTCCACATCCCATCAATTCATTCAACATGCTTGGCATAGAAATATTGGCATACAGTCAGGAGGACGATGTACATACGGACGTTTAAATGTCACTCCTTCACTTTGGCGTGTCACTGGCAGACGTCATTCAACTTAATGCATTGAGATGGATGGAGGAGAGAGAGAGAGTTCTATTTATTTATTTATCACAGGCTTTGTATTTATTTATCTACGTAATTTTTGAAAAATCAGGCCAATTAAATTAAGCGAATTACTAGTGCAAGAAAATATAGATAAAAAACACAAATTCTTCAGCATCCTGCCTTATACAATTGATATTTTATTACTCTTTTTGTCAGCATTCCATGATCTTTATCCCTCCGGAAAATCGTTTCAAGACTGTCAGTCTATAAAGAATTTTATCTTGATGGCAATTAGGTAATTGCGCATCCCTTTTGAGAAATTTATGAGAGTATAAAAAGCGGTTGGTGGGTCTGGAACGTGGAGGAGCTGGATTCCAGGAGGGGAGTGAGATTGGAGGAAGCATAAATAAAATGGGGGGATAAAAGAGTGTAATCGACGCGACGTAAGAAGGGAGCCTGGAGCCCGGTGGTAAAAGAGGGAGGAAAAAAGGTGAAGTGTTTGTGGGCTGGAGCGTGAGTCGGTGGAGGTGGAGTTTTTCCATCCACTTTTCTCCAATCAGTTGCCTCGTCTTCTTTCTTCTTCTTCTTGACTGTGGGGCGCTCCGGGTCTCAGCCTCGCCCGACATACTTGAGTTACTGCCACCACTTATTTCGTGCTTTCTCCCCTCTCTCTCTCCTACCCGTCTCGGATAAAAGACCAAAATCTCCATCATTTCTTCCCTCCTCCGACGGCAAAAGCGCATATTCTCATCTCCCCAGCACCAGCATCACCCGCTCCAACGGAGAATGAATGGCGTCGTCTTGGTCGATTTTTCAGACCATTTTCCCCCCTTTCCCATTTTCAGCAACTTTATTCAAAGAAAGCATCCGCGTGTAAGAGACGTACATAATTCGGGCCAGTTTAGAGCCAGACATATAGTACGTATAGTATGTATATGCTCTCCTAGTGTCAACTACTTCTGTACAAATACTAGTTCACTCACTCTTCAAGGGGTCAAAGTTTGTAATCCAAAAAATAATGCCATTTGGGATTTAAAATGAGAACTTATTTTAGGGAAAGCTTTACAAGGACTGGAAGCCAGGTAACTTATTGGAGCCAATGAATAATTGAAACAACTACAATGAAAGTTGTATGTTTGGATTGGACAGATTTCTACCTCATTTCAATTTATTTGAAGCATTGTATCTTTACATCATTGCCATTTCTGGAATAATTATAGGAAGTGGTGGGTGTGAAAGGCAATTAGATGAGAGTGTGGATACCTACCTGAACAATTCCACCACCTCCTCCTCCTCCCAAGGGGATTGAGCCAGCTCTGCGACATACATGCCTACCTTCCAATAAGTATGTACCTGCTAGAGTGATAATCTATGAAAATAATTTAGTTACTGAATAAGATTGAAAGCAATTCGGAGTCCTTGAAGGGAATGGACGGGAGCAGTGGTGGTGGTGGTTGTGGCGATGATGGTGGGCCTGCCTGTCCCCTTCGTGCAAAAGACCGTAATTTCGACTCTCGCAGTGAAATTGAAAGCTTTGAAGGCAGAGAGACTTCTCTTCTCTCATTATCTTGCAGACACAGCGACATGCAAATTCTCTTTAATTAATTTTAATTAAGTCCATTGTCCTCTTCTTCTGTCTAACCAAATGAAAGTATTTGGAGAGAAAGACCTCTGAAGGCTACTAAGTCTACAACTATAATCAGCAAACCACTTCAAACGTGAACAATATTGTCACTGCCACTTCTTGCTGCCTATCTCCAATAAATTTCAGGCGGAGCACACCATTTTCATTTCTGCACCTTATGCAAGAGAAATATTACACCGGCAGAGCTTTTAATTACGCCAGCACGATAGAGTAAAAGAGTAAAAAGAGTAAAATTCAATTCATCACAAATTCCATCATTCCAATACCAGTCGCACACTCAGTTATAATAATCTTACTTGTTTTACGCCCACAATAGTACATCAAAACTAAATGAATGATACTCGGCACCCTTTATGATTTGCATGACATGATATGCATATGCACTTTGAACATTCCCAAAAAGTAACAGTATTTTTAAAACGCTGCGTCAATTATTCTAACAAAAAAATTGAATAAATTGTCGTAGTAAACATTGAAGCCAGACATTCGTGCTAAAGCATAATATGAAATGGAATGCATGAAAATCAGATCTTGATTTTGGAGGAGAAATCGGAACGGGGGAACTTTCTCTCCGAGGAGGGAGC